AAAAAACAAACACACATTTAGATTTTGCAGATTTCTCAGGGGATGTTCTCTTCAGTAGAATATCTGGAATGAACTTCTGACAAGTCAATCTGTCAGTTGTTATATTTTAATTTTTATGTGGGTATTTGTTAGGAAAGACAAAACCATGTGCTACTTTTTTTTCTCCTTAAATACCGGACGAGAGTTGGTAGAATTAGTACTTACAATAGACTACTTAATTGCACAAAGTAAAGTTGGAATATTTTAGCAAAAGATTATTGAAACATTGATGGGAAAGAAACTAAACAGCAAGCTGGTAAAATTGTTTATTCCCAATTTGTGACATTATTATTCTGGTAATATATCTGTACTATCATTAGAACACATTTTCCCCAACCATTTCTGTCAGGTATAAAAGGCCTGTTCTTAAAGGTCCAATAATTTTCTTGATGTAAAAGAAAGTACCACAATTTCTTGTCCTTCAGGTATTGTGTTTCCTTATATTCCTATGAGCCCAAACCAACAACTATTCCATGCATTAGGCTTTGGTTTTATTTAAATTACAGTAACAGTTTAATTAGCAAAGAATTCTTGCAGAGTTCTAAGCATATGAATTTTTAAAAAATCTATTATATAGGAGCTCTTCTTTCATTCAACTTATTTTTCTCTCCCCTATTTGCCTCTAAGTTAAGTCCAGATTTTTCACCTCTTTGAGGAGCTCTTATCAATGGATTAAACAACAGAAACCTAGAGTAATCCTCTTTTTTAAATATAACTTTTTAAAGAGAAAAACATTCTCTCACATGTGGTTAGAAAAGGAGCGAGGAATTATTTGGGGCAGGGCAGGAGAGAACGAGAATGACCAAGGCCACAATTTTCTAGGAGCTTTTGAGAACATCAAGGGTAACCTCGTCTTTGGATGAGAAAATAGTCCATTAAGTGAATGTTTACCTTAGGAAAGTTAGTTACAGGATTACTCATTTCTTACAAAAGTGCTGACAAACTTGTGGGGGTGATTACTATTCAGCAAAGAAATATATGCTACTCACTCAGGATTCTCTCTCTGAAAAACAACATTTAACACTGTGGTCGTATTTTTTTCTGATGTATTGATTCAAAACATTATCAGGAAAGAGTAAAATATTTTTGCTAATTAAGTCAACTTAAAACCTGATGTGTCATTTTATTGACTGTTCTTCTTTCTTGAAATCTTGTTCATGTTTGTAGGTTTTCTGACTTGAGTTTAGAAATATTCCAGGCGGATTAACAGACTAGCAAATTTAGAATTGTGAATTTAATCAATAACTTCTAGGTGTGTGCAGGAACATATTGCATGAGACAGTAATGTGATTTGTGAGAAATGTCTACACACAAGCTTTCATATACCTTTATTCTGTCTTTAGAATTTGGAATGATGGGAGATCATACAATTAAAAGTCAGCGACCTCGATCTGTTCATGAAAAAAGGGTCCCTCAGGAACAAGCTGATGCTGCTAAATTTATGGCACAAACTGGTAATACGTTAGTTACATTTTTCTATTTATTGTTGTTAATTTTATGAAACCACTGCATGTTTTCATAATCTTTTGCTGCATATTTGTCAGTTTTTGGAGCTGATTTTTTTTTGAGCCATTTTTTTTTGTCACCAGTTAAAGTCCATAAATAAAGTAGCTGTGAGTTGAAAAGTGAACAAAAAATGTGTAATAATTATTTTGCCTTTAGTATGGACCATTTGAGATTTGCATTTTATTTTCTTATCTTAATTAACTACTTAAACTGTGTCATTAAACTTTTAAAGCAAGACAACAAACTTATTTTTTTAATAATTGATATAGGACTTTCAAGAATTAGAATTTTAAATAGGACTTTAGATGATAAAATTTAATTTAATGAAACTGAATATTCCATTTTTTTAAGTATCATACTACTTATAAATATAGATTGTTAAATGTATAAAAATTAATAAGAAACTTTTTAAATTTAATATTTTTCAGTTGAAAAGAGTTTTGTTATGTAAGTAAATAGTAAAAAGTTGACAGTTTTTGTTATAAGCTGTAATACACTACAAATAATTGAATATCAACAAAAAATGATATTACTTGAAAAAACTCTCTCCAAATATATATGTATTCTGAATATATATAATTTATGTCCATACATGTAGTTATAGAATTTGAACAAATAAACACATTCATATTTTGACTCATCATAATAAACGGGCTATATAATTCCATCTGGACACATTGCATGTGGCACATTTTTAGATGAAAAAGTATTTAAGCTGCTTTATGAAAATTTCAAATGTCAGTTTTATTTTGGGAAATTGAAACTAACAGTTTTATCTACATACATCCTTAAAAAGTTTTATACATTCCAATCTAAAGTATCTGTTCTACCATTAATAGATAAGTTTCAAGTACATGACCAGCTCTCTGATATGACATTCAGACTGATTTTGATGAAATTCCCTCAAAGAATGGATGTTTCCTTCAGTTCACATGTTCTTAGGATAATATTTATTCAGAACACTAGTTCTGAATCTACAACATGAAAATGCAAATATTGTTAATCAATTGTGCTCCTGGTAATGGGTGAGTAGTAGATTTTAATACATTAGTTGCAAGTAGGTCAAATTCTCATATTAGGATGTTTAGAATAAATTTTATAAGGACTTTTTGTTTTGTTTTGGTTTTGTTTTTTTTAGGTATACATTGCAGCCAAATCCAGACATAAAGAAAACTTGCTTTTCTGGGTTGCTTTTGGTTCACCATATTTAAGAAAAGGTGATTTATACTTTACTATTTGCTTGAACAAGTCCAAAAGTACATTACCATGTTCAGGCAAATTTCAAAATTTCT